ATGGCAGTGTGTGCCGACCTGCTGAAGGAGCTAGATGAGGGTGAGGAGATTAACCCCGAGGATATCACCGAACTCCACAGAACCACTGATTTATCTCTCCGCGCCACCAAAGAGACCGCCCGTGCCATCGGCAGGTCTATGGCAGCCATGGTGGCCGCGGAGAGGCATCTGTGGTTGACCCTCTCCGAGATAAAAGAGAAGGACAGGGTCTTCCTCATGGACAACCCGCTTGCGCCTTCTGGCCTGTTCAGCAACGCCGTCAACTCGGTCGTCGACAGGTACCAGGAGGCCCGTAAACAAGTGGCGTGTTCCAGCGGTTCCCCCCTCACCGCTCTCTAGCTTCGGGGGCTGCTGGGCAGGAGCAGCCCCACTCGTGTACCGGCTCCTCATACCGGGAACAACAAAAACAGAGCGTCGCCTCTCGTGCTCCTCCGCAGCGGGACCGAGAGCAGCAGCGCTCTAGGTCGGGGACTTTGAAGTCAAAGCCGGATCTGCGGACCGTCCTTCAGGCTAAGAAGTCCTTGGCCAAGAAGTCCTGACACTTGTGGCTCAGGACTTCTGAGGGCAGGCCCTTCTGGGGAAGAGAGGTGTACACCGAATTACACGGTGCCTATCTTTCCTCAGGAGATCATTCTGCCAACCCTGCTACTTCAGGGCGCAGCAATCTCCCGCGAGCACTTCTCTCAGTCACCGCCTGGAAACGTAGCGGTACTAAGAGACTCGCTACCTCTACAGAGGTTTCTGGAACAGCTAGTTCGGCTGTCCCCTGCCGGGCTGCCGCTTCGATTACACCAGAGGGCACGGTCCTGACGCCTATGGCCCAGGACTTCTGAGGGCAGGCCCCTCTGGGGAAGAGCGGTGTACACCTCATCATACGGTGTCCGTCTCTCGTCAGTGCCCTCAGGAGATTGGTCTGCCAACCCTGCCACCCACAGCGCTTCAGGGCGCAGTGGTCTCCGGCGAGCGCTTCTCTCAGTCTCCGCCCGGAAATGTAGCGGCTCTAGGAGGCTCGCTACCTCTTCGGAGGTCTCTAGAGCAGCTAGATCGGCCGTTCCCTGCCGGTCCTCCACTTCAGGGCACCGAGCTAGCAGCTCTAAGTACACCAGAGGTCGGTCTCGAGAGACTGATTCCTTTAGTAGACTATTTGGCAGCGTGGAAACTTCTGCCAAATGTGTCTCAATGGATCCTGCACACTGTAGAAAGAGGCTACCGAATCCAGTTCGGCTCTCCTCCGCCTCGTTTCAACGGGGTCATTCCCACTCTGGTGGGCTCTGAGCAGGCTTTGGTAATGGAATAAGATGTAAACTCTCTTTTGAGGAAGGAGGCCATCGAGGTGGTCCCTCCTCTCGACAGAGAGTCCGGGTTCTACAGTCGGTACTTCATCATTCCAAAGAAGGATTGAGGGTTGCGTCCCAATTTAGATCTATGTCAATTGAACCGCTCAGTCATGCGACTGAAGTTCAGGATGCTCACACTCAAACAAGTTGTGTCTCAGATCAGGTCCGAGGACTGGTTTGTCACAATCGATCTCAAAGACGCATACTTCCATGTCTCCATCCTTCCCCAACACAGGAAGTTCCTGAGGTTTGCTTTCGGGGGCGAAGCTTACCAGTATCTGTTCGGCCTTGCACTCTCACCCCGCACTTTCACGAAGTGTGTGGATGCTGTTCTGGCTCCACTGCGACTCTAGGGCATCCGCATACTGAATTATATCGACGATTGGTTGATAATAGCTCAATCGGAGCAGATGGCGGTTCGGCATTGAGATGTCGTTCTCGCTCACATGAAAGAGCTGGGGTTAAGACTAAACGCCCAGAAAAGTGTGCTTTCTCCACTACAGAGGACCACTTATCTGGGCATGGTGTGGGATTCGACCAAGATGCAGGCACGTCTGTTTCCTGCTCAGTTCGAGTCAGTCCTCACTGCAGTCACGAGAGGGAAAGAAGGCCGGTCACTCACTGTCAAGCAGTTTCAAAAACTGCTGGGTCTGATGGCAGCTGCGTCCAACGTGATACCTTTTGGCCTGCTGTACATGAGACCCCTACAGTGGTGGCTCAAGACCAAGGGGTTTTCCCCGAGGGGAAATCCGCTCCGCATGCTCAAGGTCACGTGGCGATGCCTTTGTGCCTTAGACATGTGGAGGAAGCCTTAGTTCCTGTCTCAGAGCCCGGTGCTGGGAGCTCCTTGCCACCGCGTAACGCTAGCGACAGACGCTTCCCTCATTGGTTGGGGAGCGGTCATGAGTGGCCGCTCGGCCTGCAGTCTGTGGAGCGGCCACCATCTCACGTGGCACATCAACTGCCTGGAGATGCTGGCCGTGTTTCTAGCATTGAAACACTTTCTCCCAGACCTAAGAGATTGCCATGTGTTGGTGCGCACCGACAACACAGCAGTGGTCTCTTACATCAACCACCAGAGAGGTCTGCGTTCGTGCCCCCTTTACAGGCTGGCGCACCAGATCCTTGTGTGTTCCCTGGGGAAACTCCCCTCGCCGAGAGCAGTTCACATCCCTGGGCATCTCAATATGGGAGCAGACATCCTGTCAAGGCAGGGGCCGAGGCCCGGGGAATGGAGGCTTCACCCCGAGGTGGTGAA